AGCAACTGCCATGTGATTGGTTGATTAGATAATTGCATTAATGAGAAATTGAACAGGTGTTCCTAATAATCCTTTAGGTGAGTGTATATATATTATTTGATACCCATTGTAGTACGAGGTTATTTGGCATTGCCTTCAATATGGTAGCTTGGTATTGATGTTAATGCGAGATATTTTGTATTACTTGTATTAAAGTGTTTTTGAGTGAACCTAAGCATGCCTGTTTGTTCCTTCGAGAGCCCTATATCCCTCTCTCATCAATTTTAATACACCTAGCTATAGGGTACAAGCAAGCCGCTTGTGCAAAACTGCAAAGAGAACACAGTTATAACCTCACAATAGTATTGATTCACTGAACCTGAACAGTAAACAACTGGATTCAAACAAGTAACCAAAACAAACAACTGCTAAATCTGTGCATGATACCTCCTGTTTGGTAGCCATGTGAAACATTTAAAACTCATTACAATGATGCTGATCATTGCAATGCTAGTCTTCCCAATTAATTGCAATTACGAAGCTGAAGAAGCTGATTGGCACCTGTCCCGTGAAGGGGGGGCAGGCTGATCTGATGGGAACTTGAAGAACCGCCCCTCATGTGTGGGGCTGAATATCAGGGAGGGGGCAGCGAAAGTCCCAGAGAGCCAGTGACCGTTCTGTGATTTTCCTGCCTTGTGAGTCGGGTCTCAACTCAATCCTCTGAGGTAAAACATAAAATAAAACATGAAGTCATCTGTCCTGCATCCATCTCTAGCAGCAGGATGGGTTGAGTAAGTAGGTGGGTTAGTGTAAGCTGTGACTGTGTGTGACTGGGGGGAGTGTCCCTGTCACACTCTGCTACCTCTTCTGTATATGTGGAAGCCCACTGGAAGCTACATAGGGAAGAACCCCCCCCAATACCCTTAAAGACTGTCACACACTTGTGATGAAGATGTTTCAATCCTCCTCTCTTGCCTTTGTTGGCTCCAAACCGGAGTTACAAGCCATCTGTTTTCAGAAAAACATCCCTGCAGATAATGACACCTGTGTGACTCATCGTAGGGGAGTAAAATAACTCCACATGCCCTCCAAGTGACACTGAACTTGTGGTGTTTTCAAACGCGGCCCTCACACGCACAGACAGTCACATGCACAGACAGTCACATGCACAGACAGTCACATGCACAGACAGTCACACGCACAGACAGTCACATGCACAGACAGTCACATGCACACGGTGTGGTTTCATATTTCAGGCCGCGCTCAAGAGCGCCACTTTGAGCCTCTATTGACTCCGCTAAGGTCACAGCATTATCAGCAAACTCAAGATCAGTAAATATTTCTTCACCAAGCTGCCCCACGCATGAGCCCCACAGCTGCCAGACCCCACAACCCTGCCCAACGCCCATTCCATAAAAGTTTTGAACAGATCAGGAGCAAGAACACACCCCTGGCGAACCCGAGAATCAACTTGGGAGAACACAGAAGGATCTCCCTCCACTCTGCACAGCACTCACAGTACCAGTGTACAGGCCAGTCATGACATCCAGCAACTTCGGGGGGATCCCGCAAAGTCTCAGGATGTCCCACAGGGCAATTCGATCAACCGAATCAAATGCCTTACGAAAATCGACAGAAATGGCAGAATGTCATAAAGGAGACTGGACTGAAGATTATACATAAACTACTTTGTCTAACCTTGTTGATAAGACTGAAAACAAATACAGATGGTTGATTTCAAGAAAGTTTGGCAGAGGAAAACTGGAAATACCGAAATTTAGCCAATGTGATTCCTCACCATGGCATTATAAAGTCTCCTATAGATGCCTGCAAACAGAAATAAGTTTTAACTGTACCACCATAGACTTGTCTTTGTCCTTCCATCAGTGTTATTATAATTATGATTTTTAAATTTAGATTTTATATTATTTTCAATTTGAAATACAATTTATTTTTTGCTTTAGTGTGGTGCTTTTATGGTGATTATAGGCTAATAATACTAATGCTACTACTGCTAATGCTTACTTCTACTGCTGCTAACACTATTAATGCTGTTGCTACTTCCTTTGTTTCTGATTGGGTCTTGTTGATGTCTGGTCTTGTGTGGTTCCTGGACCCCAGTCCCATTGGCTTTTTGTAAATGTCATGTTGCCCAGCACCAGCTGCTTGTTCTAATCCCCTTGTTGTTTCACAGCCTAGTACAGCCATCCCTTTCATCTCTTTTTGCTGGCTAATAATATAATCCCCAGGGCAACAATAAAGACCTTTGCTAACCAAAAGATAGAACTATCTGTGAGGCAGTGAAAGCTTATAACGCAGGACTCACCACCGGCGATAGGACTTACAAAGCTGCTTCATATGGAATTCAGAGTGCTGTAAAGGCCGTAAATCACCAGTACCAGAAGTGCGCGGAATTCTCAGGTCTCTCCCATAACCCT